TTTGTAAGATTATAAATGTCTTTATGGTATTTTTTGTTAAAATGAATGCACCCTTGCTTAATTGAAGTATTATTATTTATTTTTTTTAAATTACAAACAGTGCAAAAACAATAACGCAAAAAATAGTCCTAAACACAGAGTCAATTTGATTTGTGCAAAATATTTATGTATTTTTTTCAGTATGTTTTTCAATATTATTTTGGGGATTTTTAAATTTTTTGGTGCAATTGTTTTCTTTTGATTGTAACATGAAATCATACATAACTATTCAAAAATTTTGATAAAAATTAATGTGTCACTGCTGAATAAAAGTATTAATTTCTTAAAAAAAAAATCTTACTGACTCTTAAGTGAAAATTAGTCATTTCTTCATGAGATTCACATGTTATTGCCAATTTACAAACAAAAGCTGGGCATGCACATCTATAGAGCTGATGTGGCTCGGACTCACCCAGGACCCCGATGACCCAGCAGCCGAAGGTGCGGGTGAACAGGGCGAGGCTGGTGAAGCGGGCGGCTAACATGCCCATCCTCCACAGCAGCTGACACAGGAGAGCCGCCGGCGGCATCTGCAAATGCCCAGGACGGATCAAACAACAGGCTCGGCTGTAGAGCACCAGCGCCCAGGACAGCGACAGCAAACACACGGCGTCACACAGAGCAACTGCAAAAACACACACATGGAGAGTGCAACGTTTTTATCTGCAGTATAAATGTTGCCTTTAGCATCACCAAACAGAATTACATAAACAATGACTGTTTTCGAACAGCTTTCTATCTCAAGACTGACCTGGAGATGAGAGGCCATAGTCAGTAACGGTGAGAGCGTACGTCTGCAGGAGCGTCTGTGGTAGAGTCATCAGCAAAACCTCCAGCAGACGCAGAGCAGACACGTCTGCATGCTGCATCACCTCCTGCGCATGCGACTGCGACGAGCCCTGAGCCATCCATTCACACACACTGCAATCCCAAAACCTGACACACAACACACACACATTACAATGAAACTCACGAGACAGTTTGTGAGGGAACTGCAGGGGATTCATGAGCTGATGAAAATTAAAAGTATAGTTGACCCAAAAATTTAAATCAGCTGAATATTTACTCACCCTCAGGCCATCCAAGATGTAGATTAGTTTGTTTCTCCACAGGAACAGATTTGGAGAAATTTTGCATTAGCAGTGAATGGGTGCCGTCAGAATGAGAGTCCAAACAGCTGATAAAAACATCACAATAATCCACACCACTTCAGTCTATCAGTTAATGTCTTGTGAAGTGAAACGCTGCATGTTTTTAAGAAACAAATCCATCACTAAGATGTTTTTTAACTTTAAACTGTCGCTTCTGGCCAAAAGTCCTTAATCCATAATAACGCTTCCTCCAGTAAAAAGTTCCACTAATATATTTGTCTAGAGCTGTTTTGGACTGTTTTCACTTGTAAACGGTGCTTGATCTGTGCATATTTCTCTCCTGATTCTGACAAGATGACCTTTTAACTGGAGAAAGCATTATTATGGATTAAAGACGAAAGCGAAAGTTTAAAAACATCTTAATATAATTTTTTTTTCTTTCAAACACACAGCTTTGTGGATTATTGTGATGTTTTTATCAGCTGTTTGGACTCACATTCTGACGGCACCCATTCACTGCAGAGGATCCATTGCTGAGACAGTGATGCAATGCTACATTTCTCTAAATCTGATGAAGAAACAAACTCCTCTACATCTTGAATGGCCTGAGGTGAGTGCATTTTCAGCAGATTTGATCTATTTACTTGCATGTCATGTGACCATTAACCAACATCAGGCGAGAACATGCAAATGTGTCATTAAATTATTGGGATGATAACTTCAGTTCTCAGGGGATAAATATTTCACATCTAAAGGACTTGACTGACAAAAAAGTTTGTAAACCTCTGAAGTAAATAAACAGAATTGAAATTTCTGAAGGAATTATTTCTTTAAACAGATGCACACACACACACACACCTTTTGAAGATGCCCAGGTGAAGTGTGTGTACGATGAAATTGCGGCATGTCCGTTTGTCTCCGTCGGCCCTGTACCACCTGAAACTCAACACCTGCACCAGTGACCCCGGCAACAAGAGGGCAAAGGTCAGTCCGGCCAAACACAGCTCCTCCTTCCACAGATAGAAGCCCACACAGCAGACCACTGATGAACAATAGAGAACATGTGTTCCATCATACATCTCCATCTGTGCACTTCAATATGCTTTGTGCTGTATGAGATTATCTCTACAATATTCAACATAACAAAAGAGCAGTGAAATGGGATGAGATTATATCACAGTAAATCCAGGTTAAAATCTGATATGATCAAAACAATTCTGTAATCTTTCATTTCTGACAGAAACGCTTTTCATGGTGTTTTCGTGGATCCCTAAATCTCTAAAGCTGCTTTGGAACAATATTTATTTTGAAAAGCGCATTTCAAAATAAATTTATTTAAATAGTTTCTGTTCAGTTTTATACATCTACAGCTATGCAACAATACTCTAATAGCGGATTTAAATAGTAAATATTTTCCAGATGAAAAATACTGCTACTACTATTTCCACTACTACTACTAATAATAAAATAAAAAAATAACATTTATATAAAATATTATATTTAAAAACATGAATAATATTTTGGCTTTAGTAAAATAAATTAGCCATGTTTATATATATATATATATATATATATATATATATATATACTGTATATATATATATATATACATATATATAATTTTATAATTCGACAAATTAAATATAAATATATAAATGTATAAATTAAAATGATAATATAAATTATATTTTATACAAAAAAATTTAATAAAATTTTTATTCTTCCTTCATATATACATAAAATCACGTGTCACGGTATTTACATGATGCTCCAAGGTACTCCCAAAAATACCCTGGTACTACCAAAAAATCCATTATAGTACCATTATAGTCATTTTTTAAGTATTATTTGACAAGCCACAGCTGCATCACGTAAACCAGAGGTCATCAACGGGATCATTTAAAATGCAATCACACAAAAAGTCTATCGAAATGTACCATGGTTTTACCATGTTTTTGAACAGGTAACGTTACCATGATTACACCATGATATTTTACACCGTTGTGATATCATGTTTTGGACGTATTATGGATCTACAATAGTAGTACTATGGTTGGTGTACCGTGTGAATATCGTGGTACAAACTCGGTAACGGTCGTTATGTTGTGATAAATGGGGTGCATCAGATGCACCTGTGATGCGGTAGAAGGTCACTCACGCGCCGCTCTCTCCGCCAGCAGCACGAGCGCGGACGCAGCGAGCAGCAGCACGCGCCAGCAGCTCGAACACGCGCCGCATCCTCTCCGCTCCGTTACCGGCATCTCACCGACCGGGGCTCGGCGCTCCGCGAGACATCTTTGTGTTTGTTGTTGTTGTCAGCGGCGGATCCAGTTTCTCCGTCGTCCTGTCAAAATATCTGACGTCATGCTGCTGGATTTTTAAAGAGACAGTACCGCGCATCCGACAATAAAAATTGTATGTTTTTATATAAATGTATGAATTTGTTTTATTGTATTTCTGAAATTATGTTACATTATGAGTAGGCTTACCTATAGCTGTGTGTGTGTGTGTGTGTGTTACTGTGACCCGGATGTTTGCACACAGATGCTGCGCTGTAGGACAACAGTAGAAATGTGATATCAGCTGGACGCCTCTCTAACACACACACACACACACACACACACACACACACACACACACACACACACACACACACACACATATTGTATCAAAA